AATTTTGTTAGGTCATTACATTTTATTCGAAAAATATCGATTATTCATAATAATTATTTATGATTTGTTTTGACTCCTCTGTACGGAATATTATTTGTGAATTTGTAATAATTTAATATTATTTGTGCATATGTTATCTATTTACATTAATGTATACTTTGAAAAAAATAATTTTTAATTTTGAATAATTCTATTATAATGGGATTTTTTATTCGTGTTAATTTTGAAGTTGCTAATTTAATAATTAATAACCTCAGAAATAATATGAATAAATCTTATTCAAAACAGAAGTCATATGATATTATAGATTTAATAAAAATATTCAGAGATTGTGAGAAATCTTGTGGGTTTAAATTGCTATGCAAAATATTTGCCAAAAAAAAAATTCTCTTTTGAAATCAGCTTAGTTTTGCTAGCTAAGATTTGATTTTGATCCCTTTGTATTAAATGTTACTTAATAATGTATAAAGTAAAAATAAATATTTATATTTGTTTCATGAATTTTGGTTTTGAATTTGCAATTTATCTTCCAGACTATCTACCGTTTGAATGTTTCTGTAACTGCAGAATTTAGTCAGAACTTTATTTAAAACAAAAGAAGAGCAATCTAATTGTTATAATCTAATCGTGATTATTTAGTATCATTTAAGCAAAAGCTGCTCAGTACAATTTCGTGTGATGTTAACAGTTTCTGTTTCATTTTGTAGTCATTCATACATTGTTTGATGCTCAACTACGTTTGTAAATATAATGGGTGATTCAAGGTTTCGTGATTTCCCCACTCTCCGCACTTTTCCGCATTCCGTTACCATGGTTTCGGAAAATCAGGCTTTTTCTGCCTTACGTCAGTACGTTTCAATGAGAAGTAGGAATATACTAGGATGGAAAAGATACCACGTTTTGTTGAAACCATGGTATCGGAGAGGGTAAAACATAGATAGTTGGCAAATCACGAAACCATTTTACTCTCTGAGAGTATAATTACTGTTCCATTTTTTTAAAAAAAAATTCTCAAATTTAGTTCACAAAACAAAATTATTCGTCATTGAAAAGCTGGACAGTAATTCAACCAGCGAGAGTTGTTTATTTTAAGAATAATTTGAACATGTGCTATTATCAAAAATCTTGTAGCTGAAAAATTCATAGTTTTATACTCTGTAAATACAATAGCTGCTTCAAAGTTTTGCGATTTCCACACTTTCGGTTTACATGATTTCAGAAAATCTTACTTTTTTCTCCTACAGTAGTATATTTCAACTCTTCACTGCATTGCCGTGAAGAAGAAAAACAAAATTTGTCGTAACCATGGTAAAATTAAACAGATAAAACTTTAAATCCATCAATTGATATAGAATGAGTTTCGAATGATTTTAGATGTGAGAATGATTTTTAATGAGGGTTATTTAGGGAATCATTCCCTGATTTATTTTTATAAAGCTATATGCTTCGTCGTATATGGTAAGTCTGACTATAGTCAGTTTTGGTATCTCAGTCTTTCATGTTTACATCAATGAATTTATTTTCATGTGGTAATATACTCTTATTTAATTTAAACTTAGCTTCCAACATATTACATATCATTTACCTATGTTACCAACATATCATTTATTATTCCAAGATAATTTGACCATTTTTAAAATGCTATATTTCTATCCTGTTGTCAACTAATGATACGTAACTTGATGAAAGCTTAAATAACTTATTAGCTAATACGGCATACACGAGGTTACTGGATTGTTTTAAAACACGTTCTTTTATTCATTTTTATGAAATTTATTTCACGTCCCCCCCCCCATTTTTCTTCCTTTTTTGTTCTGTCATGCAGATCCTAATTTACGGCGTTGCTTTATTTACGTCCCACTAGAGCTGCACAGTGGGCTATTGGCGAGAGTCTAGGAAACATTCCTGAGAATGATTCGAAGACATACCATTACAATTTTGATCTTCAGAGGGATATTCCCCTCCCCTCCGCATTCCTAGCCTGCGACCAGCTCGAATTCGAGCACTTTAGCGTAGAACAGTCTACCGGGGACCGATACTGTTCGCTCTCGGTCTCTTCGCAAACTTATCTGAGGAGTCACCCACCCTCTCACTGACCGCTGCCAGTAATGCTTGACTTCAGAGATCTACTAAAAATCGTTTTTTTTACGACTAGCCCACCGTGGCACTTAAAGTAATAAAAAAATCTCATTGAGCACATAGGTAGGTATTTTATTTACGTCGCACTGAAGCTGCACAATGGACTATTGACGACTGTTTGGGAGACATCCCTGAGGATGTTCTAAGGCGTCTCTGCTGAGGGGATGGCTCCTCCTCTTTGGTAGCCCAACGACCTGCACGCGTAGTCGAGCACTTTAGGGTGGAACAGTTTAACGAAGAACACACACACACTTGAGTTCCTTGAATAAATAAAATGAAATGAAATAAGCACGTTATAGTCATTTTGGATAAACTGATTTTTAATTTTGAATGAACTAACCAGTTACTGATCATCACAAGTTGACAATAGTTAGATAAATTATTGTATGCAAAAAATTAAGTACCAGAAAAGGTACTTTGAAATAATTTAGATTCTAAAGCAGGATTTTAATGCCTATTTAGATTTGTCCTTTTGAGTGCAGGATTTGAATGCCTATTAGATTTGTCCTTGCTGAGAATTTAAGAAGAAAACTCAAGTAAAGGTAAGTGCAAAATTTTTAAACTCTTTGATATCTATGTTGTTGATATCTGCCATTTTTAATTTAGACGACTTGCAACAACAACAACATAAAATCAATTATACCTTGGAAGATCTTGGGTCCATTGTCAGAGTTTATCGAAAATTCTTGGGTTCAGTGTTAGAGTTCATTGAAAGATCTTAAGTTCATTATGAGATAAACCTAAATAATTTCTTGTTTTGCCATTCTAATTATGCTGAAGTTATAATTTTCTAGAATTATTTTTTCCAGCATCTAATGTAAATTATGGCAATTTTGGCTTAAATTGAAAACAATCTGCTTTTCGTTTATCAATGCCCCTTGCATTAGATGTGTACTTTTCTATTACCTTACAGTTGCTACTTACAATTTTTTCAATTTTTTACAAGCATTTTCATAAAATTTAAAACGCTTAGTAGTAATAGCTGGTCTTTAAAATCTTGTTTTTTGTCATGTAATTTTCAACGTCTCATGCTAATTTAAACAATAAGTTCCGTACAATAGCTATTTTGAAAGATCAGGTTCATTGCGTTTCACTGAGCTTTTGAAACACTCTCTGAATTCTTTCAACTTTTGAAAAGTAAATAATCGTCTGATGCTCAACTTTTCGAACGATCAAAATCATTATCTTCACGTGACGTTATAATTCTTTATTTATTAATAATTCTTTTATCAATATTTTAAATAATTCGCGATCGCAACGCTCGAGTACGCCGTCTAGCGGGAGCCTGTAAATATCGGACATTAATTTATCACGTTTTCATTTAGTTCCATCAAAGTCATTGACTGAATCAGACGCCATTTTTTNTATCTATGTTGTTGATATCTGCCATTTTTAATTTAGACGATTTGCAACAACAACAACAAAATCAATTATGCCTTTCGAAGATCTTGGGTTCACTGTCAAAGTTTATCGAAAATTCTTGGGTTCATTGTTAGAGTTCGTTGAAAGATCTTAGCTTCATTGTTACAGTTCATTGAAAGATCTTAAGTTCATTATGAGATAAACCTAAATAATTTCTTGTTTTGCCATTCTAATTATGCCGAAGTTATAATTTAAGTGAAATTGTGGTGATATAAAATTCTAAAATTATTTTTTCCAACATCTAATGTAAATTATGGCAATTTTGGCTTAAATTGAAAACAATCTGCTTTTCATTTATCAATGCCCCTTGCATTAGATGTGTACTTTTCTATTACCTTATAGTTGCTACTTACAATTTTTTATCTATGTATAGAATCAGCATTTTCATAAAATTTAAAAACGCGCAGTAATAATAACTGGTCTTTAAAATCTTGAATTTTGTCATGTAATTTTCAACTACTCATTCTAATTTAAACAATAAGTTCCGTACAATAGCTATTTTGAAAGATCAGGTTCGTTGCTCGTCACTGAGCTCTTGGAACACTCTCTGAATTCTTTCAACTTTTGAAAAGTAAATAATCGTCTGATGCTCAACTTTTCGAACGATCAAAATTATTATATTCACGTGACGTTATTGTTCTTTATTTATTAATAATTCTTTTATCAATATTTTAAATAATTCTATCAGAAAAACAAACTGTAATACAAAATTAGATCTTACAAAATAAGTAAATGCAATTCACGATTTTTTGAAACTTAGGGAACTGTTACTGAATTTAGTTTCATCGTTCTGCTTAAAATATACAAATCAAATTCTCAATTTCTAAGTGGATTGAAATGGTTTTTCTTTCTAATTTTTTTTAAAAATAAATTAACAAAAAAAAAAAAAAACTGCCGATGCAGCGTTGGAAAATATTTTTCATTAAAATGAAAAGTTTGTTTTCGTTCAACGTTATAATTCAACACGATATCGTTTGTTTAAACCAAAAAGAAAAGAATGGAATATCTTCACTCTTCTATTAAGATTAAAACTGCTTCAACTTATTTTTGTCTGGTTCTTAACAATATCGTTAGAACAAAAACTCTAAAATCAGGGAACTAACCTATCTTACTCAGGCTTACAGGGCACTAGAAAAATTTCAGCGTTTTCTTATTTGTTTTGATATTTTATAGTGAAACTATGGCGATATAAATGAAGCATTAGAATTTTGTATTTTAGTTCTTAGCAATCCTTAAGTCAAATTTTGGCGTTAAATTAAAATATTCATGTTCAATATCATATTCTAATACAGTAGTTTTAGTTTGAGTGAAACTGTGGCGATGTAAACTAAGTATTAGAATTTTGCACTGTCAGTTTTGTCAATTTTTCTGCCAAATTTTGGCTTTAACGTGGATGATCATAAATAACGTGAATATATTCTAGTGCTGCAATTTTAGTTTCAGTGAAACTGTGGCGGTATAAATAAAGTATTAGAATTTTGTATTTTCAGTTTTAGTTTTGTCAATCTTTCAGTCAAATTTTGGCGATTTGGTGTTAAACTGAAATGTCCCAGTTCACCATTAGTTTGTTCTCTCTCAATAACAGTCACATCAGATTTGTATTTTTCGATAGCCAATGCTACTTGCAAAATTTCTTCTGCAACAAAAGCTCTGTACTCTGCTTTTTCGTAAAACTTGGAAACCGAAGATAGAAACAGTGACTTTAAATTCTTGAATCCCGTTTTACTTTTTCCAAGTTCTTGCGTTAGTTCTTCATTTCTTAGAAGCAGTTTATCTAATTCAGTGCTATTTTTTAATTCAGCATTACTTCGATTTTGTTTGATTATTCTAGATCTCTCTAATTCAAGATCACGATTTTGCCTTTCTTTTATATTTTTGTTTTCCTCTAAAGCTTTATTTATTGCGCGAGTAATGCACCAAAACTTTTCTTGTAATTCGTTTACTTTTGCTTCGAGTATACGAATAGCTTTTATGCTATAGTGACTCAAGTCGTGAAAATAATCCTTCATTTTCGATGCAACATTTGTTGGAAATCCTTCAAAAGACTGATCATGAAGTGAATATATATTACATCGATCTTGTATATGTTTCTTTGCAACACTGCAGTCTTGCAAACTTTTCCGTATTTTCGAAACTTGACTGAATGTTAACGCCTGTGGTAACTTATCAAATTTACTAAAGAAATCATGGTCAGCCATGTATTTTGTGGCCATCATAGACAAACACTGATCTTCTTCAAATTTTCTTTCTACGTTTCTACGTTCTTTCTTTTTAACCATGTCCTTATCATAACCTATCAAGATAGAAAGATATTTGTTATGCTGTTCCAAGTTGTGTTCTCGATTCTGTCTAAGTTTTAGAAACTCTGTTTTCATATTGGCTTCCTTTAGTCTGTGTTTTAATTTTTCGACGGAATCTATTACTTGCCTACCAGTTGTGGCTGATGATTGTATGGCGAAGAAATAATCTTCTTGCTTTTCGCTTAAAAAACTAGAAAGGTTGCTGTTATGCATAGTATGAATTCTCAAGTCAATTCGCATTTTCCTCATTTCAGATTCCAAGTTTGAAATATGGCTTTTCAATTCTGTCCGACTCATAAAATTAATATCATGTATCTGATAGCTTTTATCTTTCTTCTTGCTTTTGTGTTTTACTGGCATCGTAGGCGCAACAATTATCCTTTCAAAATAAGTTAAAAACTTCTTTCTCCAATTCTACGATATCTTAAATTAGATAACACACAATTCGACGATCGGACGTTTAATTATAATAACACTTAAACTCAGTAATTAACAAGAATCTCAATTTTTAATGGTAAACAATGCTTTAAAAACCCAAATTTATTCTTATGTTATCCCTCTAATTAAACTTCCACTCCCAGAAACATCTTTATTTACTGGTAAGCAAACCTTTGTCATTTTGGTAACAGAATATCCTAAATTTGTCGACCGGACTACGTAGTAATCGAGTTGACATCACATCATAAAGATCCAGGGTTCGAATCCCGGACAAGACATTGTTCATTCATTCTTTGTACTATTTATCTGTTGAGAATTATCGTCTGCTTAATTTTTAACTTTGATCTATAGTCCATAAAATTAAGTTGCGATTGAGTAAGTAACGATTTGTTTTGCTTTTTTGAGCTTGTTCGTTCTTTCTTGTGGAGAAGGAAAAAAATGGCTTTGAGTTCATATTTATTTTTTAGCATTAATGTATTTATATTTACGCCATTTTATATCTTTGAGTGTTCCGAGTTTTATTGATGAAATTAGTATTTTATATTTTTGTTAAAATAAATCATTTTGTGAGTTGTAAGTTGTTTATGGAATAGTCAAGAACACACTGACATCATTAACTAATTCTGATTCGAAGTGTTAAACAGAATATCTGGCGTCTGCGATTGGGACACGGCTGCTTTTTGCGAGTAGGAAATATTTTGTTTTATTCCTTATTCATTATGGAAGCTGTATTGAATTGAAAGACAGAATACAACATAGGAGATTATTTACCTGAACATGTAATTCCTTTGATGAGGAAGAAATTAAACTCAATTGTGTTGATAAAATTCTCTATTTTAATGATAAATTGTGAAGAAAAATTTGAACAATTGTTGTATTCTGGCACTCTCGTCTCAGAAAAGTTTACTGTTTTTTAATAAAATACAGTTTATTTGAAGGAAAAAAAAAATTTTTTTTTTTACTATTTTTTTAAAAAAAATTCATTTTTTATTTGTAACTTTTTTCCTACATTTTTTATAATGTTTTATTAACCCCCCACCCAGCTCGCTATTACAAAATGATAATAGAAATTTGGTCATTACGGTTTACGTTATGGTTAGTACAATTTACAGTGTTTTAAAATCGCTCTCAAAATTGAAGAAAAATTCACATGAGGGGTTGCATATTAATACTAAGTAATTAAATATGACAAATCACTGCTGAAAAAAAAAAAGCTTAAAAACATTAAAACCAGTTATTGCCACAGCAAATAAGAGTTGAAAGACTATTCATAACTGTCTGTATGTCAAAAAACAAGACTATCAAAAAATTAATTCAAAATTAAATCTAAAATTTATTTATAATTTTATTTCATAACATGGTCAAAAAAATTTTGTATTGGAGGTATAAAAATTTTCATCCATTTTAAACTATGTAAGTTTAATTAATAAAATACAAAATAAGAACAAATCGATCGAATAGTTTTTCTGAGATGAAAGTTAAAAATGTCTTTACTCAGAAACTGTTCGACCGATTTCGGTGAAATACTGCATATGGTGTATAAATTTGTATACCTTCCAATTTAAAAAATTTTCTAACATTAAAAATAAAAATTCAGTGAAATCTATTTTTCAAAGTGAACTTGTCTCAGGTTAAATGAATTTTACAAATGTGTATAAACATTTTTCAATTCGTTTCAGAACATTCCACAATAGAACGAATTACATAAAAAAAAAAAATTAAACAAATTTAACCTTCCTATTAGGACCATACAATGTTTATTCCGAGAAAGTATGTTTTTGTTACTCAATAATTAGCATATTTGAGATTACTTTGAACCATTTAGATTGGCACATGCAATACCTACAATAATGGAAGAGACACGTTCGGTTTTTGATATTTTTTGGAATTCTCAAGAAATACTTAAAAGGACTATTTTGTAATTTTAGAAGTGTTTAGTTCAATCGATTTTTCATACTTTGCAATAAAGTTTAAAACTTTCAAAGACCGATAGTAAATTACAGAAAAAAAGTATTTTTGAACACCCTGTGACAGAAAATCAAGCAATAAGCTTGTACCGATTACTTAGGTTGCTATTTGCAATGATTGCATCAAATTTCGCAAATCTTTATGGAGATATGAACATTTTCAAAAAAAATTATTTGTTTTTTTTTGTCTTGTGGTTTTTTACTATAATTTTAAAAATATACAGAAAAATTAAAAAAAAAATTTGAGCAATTTAAAATAAATCCCAAAATTATTGTTGTGAAATTTTTTTTGTCAAAAATGAGCAAGATAAAGTGTTTTTAAAGTAGTTCTTTTGTACTGCATACATTCAGAACAAATGTAAAATAATTTTTTTCGTAATTTTATAGTGAATCGTATTCAGCAAGTAATCAGGGGTGATTGTCAGCCCACCTCAAAAATCCTGAAAATTTCTCTAGTAAAATCATTAATGCAGCATTTCAAAAAATCAATGTCTTCATAAATTTAAATCACTGATATTTTAAAAACGTGAAATTCTAAATTAATTGTGCGCAGTATAATTTAAATGAATAATTATTTACAAGTTTACTTTTATGTCTAATCACATTTATTATTCCAAAAGAAAAAATATTTACAAATGAATGAGATGCCAAGTATAAAGTTTAGTTCTAATATTTCTAAATAAAATATACAAGAATTGTTAGACATAAATGTGATCGATGATTTCCGGATCGCGGTTACCGAAAATTTCAGAAATCCGGATTTTTCCTGCAGCGCAATAATCTATGTTAGTAATAGAAAAAGTTTGATCTAAATATCTTAAGAACGTAAAAAGTATCAAGCAATTTTCTAAGTAGTGTTTGTTCTTTTTAGAAAATGTGGTAGTGTGTACTTTTAAGAAAATGTGGTTTTCCACATATTTAATTTTGTTCCTGCTGTCCTGCCATTATAGTGTAGTGTAATTTTCAATACTGCATAATAAAATTTGTGAAAAAAACCTGATTATTTTGAGCATTTTTTATTTTTGAAAAGTACAAAAACTAGTTAGAAATTGCTCGAAACTTTTTAAGATATTTAAATCAGATTTTTTCCTCATTAGTTGCTAATACAATTCATTACAAAATTATTAAAAAACAATTAAAAAAATTTCCGCACATGCGCAGTATAAAAGAACTACTTCAAGTCTTGCCCATTTTTAAAATTTTTTTTTTTCAAATATAAAAAGAAATAATTTTGTAATTTTAAGAATGTAAGCGAAGCTTATGAAATTTCATCCAGTTATAGCAAATAACAACTAAGTAATTGATACAAGTAATAAGCTTATTGCTAGATTTTCTGGCATAAGGTGTTCAAAAATACACGTTTTCTTTCGTAATTTATAGTCTGTCTCTAAAGCCCCTGAAAGCTTTAAACTTTATTGCAAAGTGGGAAAAAAATCATATGAACTAAACACTTCTGTAACTACAAAAAAATCCTAAGAATTTCTTGAGAAATGAAAAAAAAGAAGTAGAAAACTGAAAAAATTTTTTTAGACAAGACTCATATATATAAAAGGAAAAGATTATTTAAAAATCCCGTATACAAGAATAAAACATATTTTCGCTAGTTAAATCATGCTGTTCACAAATAATTTTAATTAATTAAACTTAAAAAAAATTCATAAATTTTTTTTAGTTTAATTAATTTTGTTCCCTTAAGCTCAATTTTTTGTGAGTCTATTCTTGTAAAAAGATCTTAAAATAATAAAAACAAAATCAAACAACTCCAGTTTTCAAGTTTAAAAGTTTTATTTTTTGTTAAGCTCCAGGCTTCTTAATGTAATATAAGTACAATAAGAAAATTATTTCATCCATCAAATATACATATAAAAAAAGAAAATTTTAACAATGACATAAAATTTAGAATTTCAAACTTATTGAAATAAAAACGAATTTGACAGTTTCATTAATCAAATAACAAAAGTGCAGTTTTTTTTGGACCCAATTAAATAGTTTTCCATTAAAAACACTACACAGAAAACAAACAATACATCAATTGAACATAAAATGAACTCTTAAATAAAACTTTGTGAAACTACTTTCCAAATAAGAATGAATTTTAAAGTTTTACTGTCTGTACGTAAAAGAAATGTCAATTTTTTATGGGTCTGTTACGATAAAATTAATTTTCAAGATTGTACAATTGGTCATTTTCTTGATCAGGAGGAAAAACTTTGTTTAAAAAATGTTGCTCAGTGTCAAGGATAATTATATGTGAATACAAAACACAGCAAAATTTGCATTTTAATGTACTTTTTAAAGAGCAATATCAAAAAAAAAAATGAAATTTAGTACTTTTTGTGGAAGCTTTATTCTGTAATATTAGTACTTCAATAATTTTTTTTTTAAAAAAAAGAACAATTCTAGTATATATAATAATTTAGCCTTAAGGAAAAATTAAATTAATTTTTCTTTTGGTTTACTAAATTACAAATCAATTTTACTAATAAATTTATTCTTTCACATTAGTTACACAACTTGTTATTAATTAAGAATAAACATAGATAAACAAAATTGTCTAGTAAAACACTGTCCAGCAGGTTAACCATAAATATTACACTCATACAGTTACATTTTATTTTTAATCAAATCTTCGAAATATTTGTCTCTAAGACTGACTGAATACTTATTTAAACTAAAATGTATCAATAAATTAAAATCGTCTGTTCATAAAGCCATTATCAAAATATAAACATAGATTAATTTAACAGTCATTAAATACAATATCTTATATAAATTTTGGAATAATATTTTCTTATAAATGTCATTTTTTCCTTTAATTAGTTAAATTTTTAAAAATATTTATATCATTCTTTAGTAATGAAACAGTCTTTGAATATTTAACCAAATTGATTAAATGAAGGAATAAATATGTCATTTATTGTATTTACATTAGTTTTTTTAGACAAAAATTTAAAAGTAAGAATACTTCAAGAAGTTTGAAATTTACTTGCAATGCTGTTAAAAAAATTGGGTATTTACAAGATCAGGAAATACAATAAAAGACAAGTAATAGTCATAAATTTTGTGTAAAACAAAAAGCTGTAATTTTGTTAAATTGACTTGAAACCTTCCTTTACTCAATAAATATGCATTAATTCGAAACAATTTAAATTTAACCTTTTTTCAAGAAATTTATTATGAATAAAGAATTTATATTAAGTTAGAAAATTTTTTTGTCTTTGAATAAAAATAAGGCAATATGAACAGACTGAATATTCACAAATTTTGTAAAAGTAAAATATTTCGAATAAATCTGCAATTTTTTTTAAAACAAATTACTTGCCGAATTGCACACCGCATACAAAGAGATAAGTACTTCATTCACGAAACTTGACAAGATTTCACTATTAAATACATAAAACTCATCTTCGTATTAAATTTGAGCTGGTCTATAATACACTAACTCTTCAAAGCTATTTTATTCTGAATATAATATATATTTTTTTTATTTAAATATCATACACTCTCAATATATATTAACTCTTTTCTTTTTCTTCATTTGTACACAAAATCTCAGTCTGGTTAGAGAAATGAGATAACTAAATACTATATACATAAGTCTATTTTACACACTTCTTTATGGAGGAGATAGAAGACTATGTACACCATTTACACACATGGGGGATGTGTGCATATTAAAACTCAAATAAAGCTATGTGTCAACATCACTGGGTTTGTATCATTGCGCAGATTGAGATATTGATTTGTCTGATGCAAAGAGCTGTAGCAAAGAGATTGCTAATGCACTAATAATTTACAAAAAGCCGTGTTTTTCTATTTTGCAACTCTAAACACACACTCGTCTTAAGGATCTGGCGTATCAATGGGTTTTCTCAAATTGCCTTTACTAGTGTTTTTTGCTTTTTTACTGAAAAGGCCGCCTAAGAATCCTGCTTGCGATGGTGGTGGTTTGGATGATGAATCTTGGCCGCTACGAGTACTTCCCAGACTTGATCCTGACCCAGAAGACGTGGAACTGGCGTGGACAATTTGTGGGGAGGAGTCATGGCTTACGCTGCTTGCTGCAGAAGACTGGAAAGATATTGACTGGAATTAAAAAAATGTACAGAATTAAAATAATAGTAGATGATTTAAAAAGAGTTCTATTTTAAGTACATTTTCAGAATAACTTATAAGTCATGAATGCTGATTAAGAGGATGCTATATACGGAAGAAACTTTTCATAACAAATGCCGTTCAACAGCCATTGATTTTTTCAAATTTTAAAGTTTAACAATTAGAACTACTAATTTTATTAGGGTTATTCTTAACAGGTTAAATTTTTTATAAGTTTCTCTTAATGAAGGGGGAGGGGTATATTAATGATTTTTAAGATAAATACCTTTTTATAAAAAATGCATTTTTAATGTTCATTTTCTCATAATTTTCAATTTAAATTAGAGAAAAAAACTTAAGTTTTTTATCATTAATCAGTAATTCTCTCTCATTGTCAAATTAAGAGAAAAATTTATAATCTTCAAAAAAGGTAAACTAAAAGAAATGTTTAAAAAGGTGCAGATTTTTGTTTTTCAAAAAAAAGTAAAATAACAAAAAATGATTATTTGATGAACAACTTAAAAGTTTGTTATAATTTAAACTGAAAATTATGCAAAAATAAACAATTAATGGTGCATTATTTTTCGTTAAAAAAAGAGAAGAAAGACAATTAGCTATGAGGTGAAAGAGAATCAGCCATGAAAAGCTTCTCCCATGGTATAGCTTCCTTTATAAGCTAGAAGCTTTGTAGAAAAATGGACTTTTAATTTTGATAAATCTCTTGCAGAATTCATAATAATAAAAAAAATTCCATTCAGATTCAAGATGAATAAAGTGTTTTCAATGAAACAAATAAATAAATAAAAAAATATCAATTAAAAAAAACCTAGAGCAAAGTAAATTTAAGTTCTACAATTAATAACTAGTTTTTATGCATTGAAAATATAGAAGAAAAAAATCATAATATAAACTTACCATTCCACTATCCAAGGAGCCTGCACTTCCCCTTCGAACTGGTTTATTAATTTCTGTAACATAAATAGAAACTTATTTTAAAATAAAGTTAAAAACAGTATTTTTTATCATTTACTATTTAAGTACATATAAAATTTATCTAAATTATAGTTCATAAATTTTTTTTTGTATTATTATTATTTAACACTGTACTTTTGGGAAATTTTTTTTCTTAAATTTATATAAATCATATAATTGTATATTATAAGAAATTGAGCTACAGTTTTCATTAATGTTTAAAGTTTTAAAATAGCAAAAATGAATAAATAAAAATAATTAAATAAAAAAGTGTGACTATCCATATATATTAGAATATTAGGTAATGCCAATAATGCCTGAATTTTTTGTGTATATTTTTTTCTATAAGCTACTACTTGATTTTTGAAAAGAATAAAAAAACATTTGCTTAATGTGAAAAAAGATGTGTTTCAAAAAAGAATTTTTGAAATTTGCGTAGTGTATGGTCAGCATGGGTTAAGATTAAAAAGATAGTTATTGAGCCATGTTGGATCAGAGGACAGAGTATTTGCCTTCCAATGAGGTGACCCAGGTTTTGAATCCCAGTAATGTCTGGTTGCCACGACTTCTGCTCTCGGCTTGCACCTACCACAGGGCTGATGTAAAAGATTCTCTGTGGTAGACGGATCACGGGTTAGAGTCCCCTTGCTGTCAGGCTAACTGTGGGTGATTTTCCTATCCATGTAACACAAATGCAGGCTAGTTCCATAAAAAAAAAGTCCTCCACAAATGCAAACTTTTCCCAATACTTGACCCAGCAGTTCCCTTGTCTTCTAGACTGGGTTCAAAATTACAAGCTTTCAAGGTTGAACATTAATAGTCTTAAACCCTAAATTTGGATCAGCTGTTCAACACCAATAATCTAGATTCTTTTATAGAACACATTTACATTCAGATAGAATATTACATGATAATTTACAAATCAATAGTAGATTGAATATGAGTGACAAGAATCTAGAAAGATAATATTTTAGAAGAAAATACTTACGTTGTTCATGGAGGTCTAGCAGGGAGTTGGACAATGCAGAACGTTTAAGGTTGCTGGAGGAGGCCACACTTTCTGGTGAGAGTTTTCCATCTTTCGATTGTTGAGGTATTATTTCCATGTCAGCCACACCGGAATCTCTATTTTCTGCACCTCTTACCCTCGTCATCTTTTGCTTCTCAAGCTCACCTTCAATTCTCAGATTTTCCATTTCATCCATCTATAATGAATGCAATAAGCGGTAAATAAATATTTTCTAAAACACTAAATTATTTTACAAATAAGTCATTCTGAAATCTTAAAAACTATGTGAAGATTAGACATGCCAAAATTAGACTAAACTAAGACTTCTTGTTTTTAAAATATTTAATATTTTAAAAGAATACATGAAATGAAACTAATGGTTTTACAATCAATAAATAATTTGTAAAAATAATTATACATTTGATAAAAAAATGCTCAAAACAAAATTAAAATTCAAGACTTCAGGATCAATTAATGCCTATATTTAGTTATTAAAAAAATCAAATAATTAAATGATTTTACAAATATAAAATGATTTATTACCCCATTCAAGAATATCTTTAACTAGATATGTGTTATAGATGTTATAACCAAACCCAAGTTAATATTCTGTCATTGATTTTTATTGACATTTAAAGTTATATTTGACATAAAATTTAAAAAGTAAAAAAGAATTTTTTTTGGAATATAACATACTTTACAATAAATATTTTAGAGTAACACTATGTTACATATTATATTACAAATGCAATTGCATATATATTGTAAATGTAATTGTTAAAATATTCACTTGGAAAGAACATTTGGCTTGCTATTTTTTTCAATAACTCTTATTTTGAAATAAAATACTAAAGAAATAAAAAATATAATTTTAAATGGGAACAATGGGATTTGAATTTCATTTAAATTTATTGTAAAGAACCCCAAGCACACATAAAAAAATAACTAATAACTTTTTCCTTTTTTTAATTTAATGTTTATCAATTCCTGTATATGAGAAAGTAACAAACATAAACTTTATAGCAAAATTAATTATTTTACTGCATTACTTTTAAAGTAAACTATAACAGTTCTGCAGTATAATAATTCAGTAAATTCTAAACAAATTTAAAATATAAATAAAACGTTCATTCCTTTTGCACAGTAAGGAAATTAAATGTTGTTGGAAAAAAACTGTTTATGAAATAAATATGACATGTTTAGAATAAGCTTTACCTCTAGAATGGATTCTTTAAGATCTTCAACAAACTTGGATCGATCGTGTTCATTTCGAGCATTGAAAGTAATCAATACTTTATCATCAACTCTTTGGCTTAAACGGATTCCATGAGGATAATCTAGAAGAAAAAATTTAGAATTAATAATAATACTTCAAAAAAGACTATACTAGCTACTACACTGAAAAAAATATCTTATGCATATACCAATGTATAAGTTTTTTCAAAAATCAGGGGGGCCAACTAATACACCAGTAATAAAGTCAGATATTTGTTGATCAATATATATCGATGGATTATAAATAATGACTGAATAACTGTGTCAAGTTACCCTTTTCAAAAACTATTTTTAATTTGTTAAAATAAAATTTTGCATTTTCTCTCATAACACTTACTCATAAAACAATTTAAATTTAAAAAAATAAGAATATGAAATTTTAATTTATTTGAGAGTATTTCAAAAAACATTACACAATGAAAAGTTTAGAGGTTTTTTAAAGATTGGTCAGCATAGAACATCTTTATTTGAGGGCAAATATACCAAGAAAGAACAATATAAAAAAATACTTTTAATTTGATATAATGTGTATCTCATGTTTTTAAAATTTCGAAATTTTTACATCTGTTTTTTATTATCACTCACCTAAAACAAAAAAAACCCCTCTTGTAATAAAAATTAGGGGGTTAATTTATACACTGGGATAGCGATATATTAACGGCTCAATTTAGAACATACAGTTTTAAATGCTCTAAAATTGCTTTTTTATGTGCGGAATCAGAAAACATAAATTTAAATTTAATAAAATATTTTGAAAATTAAAAAATATATGGCATACTTACATGGGGCTTCAAAAAGAGTGACACTCATACCACAAAGTGGGAAAGACTGGCGGAAAGTATAAGTTACACTATTCTTTTTCTTGCTAAAGATTTTGGTAACCTAAAATGTAACATGGGCATTGTTGTAAATACACAGCAACATGAATTGAGTAAACAAAAATTTCAGTAACCTAATCAGTCATATGAAGAAATTAAATAAAAGCCGAAATATATTTTTAAGTCAATAAAGTATAAGTTGAATTATTTCCTTGTTACGACTTTTAATAATCTAGAGGAACATATATTTTTGTACAATATAAAACAGAAATTGAATAAAAATTTGTCGTTCCAATTTGCTTTAATACAAATTTTATAATAATCTTGATGTGACATAATTTACATAGACAGTCAAGACAGCGACCATTTAAAAAAAGATATTTTAGATTTTTTTTCTTTCATTTTTTTAAATTTCTTACACTGATGTTTATACAATAGACTAGGACAAAACAGTTTTTAAAATAGAGTCTTTAGAATTTTGTATAAGTTTTCTCAATATATTTTAATTAAAATAAATTAAATTTATATGAAATAAGGTTTGGTTAGTGTAAAAAAATAATGCTAACGATAAAAAGAAGGAAAAAAAGTTATTTTTCATACTTTCAAATTCAAATTGCAATTTTTAAAAATAAATCTTGTAACAGTAATTAAGATTTAAAAAACAACTTTCTAGCAATTTATAATTATAATTTTGATTAGCGAGATAACAGATGATTAAAAAAAAATTTTTTTTTNATTTTTCATACTTTCAAATTCAAATTGCAATTTTTAAAAATAAATCTTGTAACAGTAATTAAGATTTAAAAAACAACTTTCTAGCAATTTATAATTATAATTTTGATTACCGAGATAACAGATAATTTTAATTTTTTTTTATAAAAAGAAGTTGTGCTTCATGTTTTTTAAAATTTTTTTTAATATATATTTCTATAAAATTTAGCGAAAATTTATAACTGCATTTAAAAAATCTAAAAATATTGATGTGTCTACTAACCATTAATAAATCATTGAATAGGAACACTTCTCGTTGATGAACTCCAGGCCTTTCCTTTTTACTCACATCATACACTTCATACAATCGACAGTAACAGACGAGACGCCTATGAGGTAAAGCTAGATTCTGGTTTAAGAAAGAAAGAAAAATTTTGATTAGTATATTGTTATCCAACTACATGTTAAGATAATAACGTCTTTAAAATATCTCAATAAAAAAAATACACATAAATCAAATAATACATTTTAGTAATACATACAGTAGTTAATACATTTTAGTTTGTATAACAGTGAAATTAATGTTAAAATTATATAAAAAATTCTGTTTTATTTAAAAGTCAAAATTTTTTTTAAACTTTTGCATAAAAAGCTATAAAAATCTAAATTAATGTGAAATTCAAAGAAAAAACATTTTTACTAATAAATTTGGCTAAATCATTTGTAAAATAAAATTAATAAACTTTATCCTTTTCTTTAAGTAATAACATTGCATAAAATTACCTTCAAAACTGTCTTAAAAAGCAAAGAGAGACAGACATGTTTCAATATATGTTGTCACCAATAAAATTTGATGAAAAAAATTGATACTTTGTTAATTTCATGTTAAAAAAATTATGAAGTGTGGTTTCAAAATTGTCCCTGATAAGCGATTGTCAACACTGATTAGTCAATGTGTATAACAATTACGCATTTTAAAGAAATTAAATATTTTTAGTGCATTAATTTCAATAAAAATACTCCACTTAACCCACATCCCAATTTTTAAACACTACCTTGAAGTATTGGAGATAAACGATCCCGCTAATTTAATCATGAGTGAAAGTTCGTAAAAAAAGTTTTTTAAAAAAAAAAAGAAAATAGATATTTTTAAAAATATATGCATATTCAGAAATTTTTGTACACTTAGATTTTTAAGTTTAAACCAATGCATGTTACTTATTATTTAACAACACTGGTTTGAAACACTTTAGCCAGTAAAGCTTAACAGTTTTAACATGAAGAAGTTTTAATTATTGGTAGCATGTGATTTTGTTTAAGATTTAAAAAAAAAAAAAATATTTTTTAAAAAACTTTAATAGCTGGCTGACATAGCAACTGAGTGAAAAAAATTTTAATCTGAAAAATTTACATGTCAAGTAAGAAAAATAAAAACTTACTGGCTTTTTACCAACGATTGTTTGTTGTACTTTTAGCACTTGTGTCACATGATCTGATCCCATTTTGAATTCATTTGTTTTGATTCTTTCATAAATACCCACCAGCATATCTCGATCCAAATCATGACCATCATCAATGGCTAAAATAAAATAAAAAAATTAAGAATTTTATACATTTGCTAAAAATGAATACTATAAAATGTATATAAATGTTTTTCAAATATTATAATTCTTAACAATGAAAAAAAAAGAGGGGAGTTATGTGTCAATATTAGAAAATATTTCCTTTTACTAAGATAAGAATCAAACCCTAATAATAGATACTACAACTATCACTTACTTTAGATTACATTAGCACTGGAGTAAAAATTAAGAAAATTTAATCACTAATCTGCAACTAAAAGATATTACTAGTCTAATCTGTACACATTTTCCCAGGTCCATTAGCATGTTTCAATTATATTTTTTGTTAAAAAAAAAGTTTGAAATATGTTATTTTGTGACAATAACAGATCTAAACACAACTAAAAATCAAAAAACGAAAACAGCATGCCATTCCCATTATATAGATTGCGCTGGTATAAAACTGATAATTATTTTATAGTGACATAGTCAAATTTTAGTAATCCCAGATCAATAAACCTACATTAAATTTAAGATCAGGGTAACCAATTCATTCAAAATAATTTTTAAAAAAAGAACCGCTGATAATGTAAAAAATAATTACCTAAAAAAGAATCAAGCTAGAAAAAAAAAAAACATTTGTTCATAAATTTAGAAAGTATGATACTTACATCTAAGATTTCTGATAAACTCTTCTATTTTCATACGCTTTTCTGCTTTCATGTTAGGGGTGTGGAGGTCTGTGTTCAGCATAATGATTGCAAAAGCCAGCACAAACACTGTATCAGCATTATGAAACTTGGAAGCAATGTCATGGTTACAGTCAATATACCTGTGACTAAATACTTCAACTAGTCTTTCTATTTTTTGTGCTTCCCCCTGCAAAGTAACAAATAAGGTTAGAATAATATAAAAAAAGAAAATATATATGGTAAAAATAATATTTAAAATGATTAAAAAAGTAAAAAGATGTAAAACTTACAGGCATTCTGAAAAATGTTTGAAATTTCCTAAGTGCAACATCAACTTGCATGCCTGCCAAGTCCAATTCTTGAACAAAACATCTAGAAAAAAATAGAAACATAAATATTTTGGGGACAAGTATAAAACATATGAAGATACTAGAAAAATGAAGGCCCATAAAAGTCTTAGTTTATGTAAGATTTTTAAAATGAGTAGAAAAACCATTAGTTTAATCAATTTTAAAATAAAATTCCATCTGGGAAAAACATATATGTGATAACAATGTATTAGGAATACTGAAATTTCAGAACAAGAATATTTTTCATAACAAATGATTAACAAATGATAACAAATATTGAATTCAAACAAGTAAAAATAAAAATTTTAATTGTTTGAACTTAATATTTTTTAAACAAATTAAAATAAAAATAATAACAGCAATTGATAAACTAACATAAAATTTTTATACCTTAATCAATTAAGTATAATACAATATTTATCAAAATTAAAGCTTAAATTTTTTTAAAAAATCTATTTTGCAGAAGAAAACAATGCTTTTTTTCTCCCTAAATAAATTTTTATCAATTAACAATACATGTCATTATTGATATTAATTTAAAATCAAGATTTATATATTTAAAAATATTTTAAGTTTCTTTAAAGAAATATAAAATAAAATTTAGATCAATCTAAGTTAAAAAAACATTAAGATTATTACAACATATACTACAGTTAAAATTTTATTTAGAATAAAGAATAATAATCCCATTAAAATGTTATATAAAAATTGAGAAAAAAAATTATTATATTTAAAATTTTGCAAGATAAAATTCTATTTAGAAATTTTTAACGGGAAATTATTTTAGAAAAACTAATTTCAACAGTATTTTAAAACAAGTTTTTCTAAGTTAAAGATAAATTAAATGGATAGGCATTTTTTCTTACTCAAGCACTGCCATATTGAATGAATTCTGCAAATTTCCTAGGTATTCTCCAATCATTTGTTTGCTGAGACCTTTTCTCGTCAACAGGAATCTGGCAACAGCTTGGGGAGAAGCCTCCAAGAATCCTCGTTGAATTAAGTAGCGAACTCCTCGTTCAGGTTTCTTATTAAATAGATTAAGACCCACTCTATATTGTCTCTTCCTCTGGATTTCTGTTAGCTGTTGGATGGGAGAAAAAAGCAATTTAAAAATACAAAGTTTTAAACTATCTGTTAAGACAACAGTTTAATGCTTAAGTTAGAATAGTTTTATACTTAAGTTAGTTACAGCTTACATAAAACATACATTTTTGAGTGCAATTATTTATTTGGTCATTTATAAGAGATTAACCACATTTAATTTCATTTAAGATATTTATAAGAGATAATTCTAAACAAATACAATAATAAAACAGTCCATACCTTATAAATAGTTGGTGTACCAGGTAAATCATGAGGCGTTCGAACATCAGGGTAATTATGTACATTGAAGGAATGACTCATATCAGCAGGTGGCGTATTGGAATAACCACCTCCACTATCCATACTGTCTTCACTATTTTCTGATATATTGCTTAGACGTTTGTCTTCCACGCTAATGGACTGTTCTGCTAAGACCTAATGCAATCAAAGATTTGATTTAGAATGACACATTGAACTGAAGTTTAGAACACACATAATATTACACATTTTTATACATCTTTACAGAGTAAAATGAGGGCCCTTTTCTCAGAGGTACCACCCAGCCCCCTTTTTTTATTCCTAAGGAAAATTCTATTTGTACAATACCCCTTAATATGATTTTCCACTATTGAAAAATATCCCTTAATATAATTTTCCACTATTGAAAACAATATCCCTTAATTTGATCAACCACTATTGAAAAATATCCCTTAATATAATTTTCCACTACAGAAAAATATCCCTTAATATGATTTTCCACTATTGAACAATATCCCTTAATATAATTTTCCACTAAGTTCTCAAAATAATAATAGTAATAATAACTCACTAGAGATTTTCTTTTCCAGACTGGAGAAGCTTCTACAGTTTTATTAGAAGATTTACAGGTAGACTGTTGACTATTTTCAGATATCACATCTACAGATTCAGAACTGTCATCTCTGCCGGGTATAGAGGACGTTCTTTTAGGAACCTGGGGTGGCACCTTCTTCTGTTCTACTACTACTACTCTAGGACTCACTCGTCTGCTGAGAGCCACATCACTTGCCCTCACAGCGTTCCTTTGTAAAACATTAGATGTTGCCATTTTGGAAGGACTAATTTGAAGAGAATGTCTAGTGGATGAACCACGAAGCAGATTGGAGTCTGCTTCATTTGGATCTATATCTACACTTAGCTAGAAAGAAAAAAAAATAACAAAAATCAATAAAAATGTCAATTTTAAGAAAAATTTAAAAAAGGAGTAGAAAGTTTATAATAGTGAAAAAATAATGACATTGGTCATTAAAATAATAATAATGTACATCTCTAACATTGCAGATAGCTGCAAAATTTTTAATACTTTAATATAAATTGCAATATTTGATTTAAATTTATTTTAAATCATGAATTAGTACAGTCGAAAAAAAGTAATTTAACAATAATTGCAGAAGACTTTTCAATGACAGTAAGAACTAAATTTAAACATGATAAAATAATATAGGAAAGGTATATTCCATAATTTTTAAAACTTTACAGTAGTATGTTTTACGAAGTAGAATTAAATAAAAAATCAGAAGTAAAAAGTTGCAACAAATTTATTAAGAGGAAAAGATATATTTTTGTTCCGACCTTTTTTTTAAGCATAGATCGATTACTAAATTTAGTAAAAAATGAATTAAGTACAGCTAAAAGTTCCCTGCCCTGTAAAAAAATACTAATTTCATCAAAAATTTTGATATCTGTAAACGTATAAAAATCCTAAAACTAGTATTTTTAATAACATAAATAGTACTTTGAATAACTTAAACAATAATAGAAAGTAAGAGATCTTTCTTACTGAACCGAGTGCACTATCTTCGGATGACACAGAATCTCTCATCGGTTGGAAGTTATCTGAATGCTGAACTTTAATACTTGGACTAGAATGAACATAAACTGTAGTCTGATTAGGTGAACAATGAGTTCTTTGAGAATTAGCACTAGGTATTGCAGTCCATGCCGGATGACGCGGGAATGACGGAGGGGAACGGGAAGATTGGTACGCATCCTGATAATATGCACTATTCAGGTGCGGTACCTGCTTACCCATGTACTGATCGTAAGTGTCTTTGTTATTGTAATCGTTCACATAAGGTCCTTGTCCATATGCTTCTTGGAATTTGATTCTCCTCTCCCTGAAGCTCTGCGTGCGACAGGGTTTGGCATACCTAGAACAGTCCTCGGAATCTAGAGTTTCATTCAGTTCGCGATACAGTGCATTGTAATGAGATTGCATGAGTGCATCGGAATTGATATTGGTGTGAAAGTTATTGCAGAGTTTCAGTTCACCCTCGTAACACGCCTGGTGGTGTTGGAAGTGGGGATAGCGTGACACAGTGCCATTGCTGTTGTACACAATCCATTCTTTGTTTTCTAAGTCGAAGGTAGGGAACCTCCTAGACAGGCGTTTTTCGCCTTTGGAAGCGTTCGCAATGTCCTGAAATCGTTTCATGATGGTGTATTTTCTGAAGGCTCTTTGGATAGTTAGAGCTGCCTTTCGTGCACAGACTCCACCATATTTTCTTTCGAGCATTTCTACCTGCTTGTCGAGTAAGTCCTGAGAGAGCTCGTACCTGAAATAGACAATGAAATAAGGTAAGATGCTAGCTGCAAAGTATTTACATATATATTCTCTGCCCAAGGACAATGCATTTTTAAAAACTGACATTAACAATAATATTGTGCTTAGGAAAATAAAATAATTATCAACTGCCCATCAAAAAATGTGTTTAAGTTCAAAAAATTGGCATCCTTTGATTTCAGAACATAAGAAAAATCAAAGAAAATACAAAGTAAACACACTATATCTGAAGTGGCACCTGATAGGAAAAGAAAGAGAGGTCAATTCATATTACCTAACATTAAAGGAACCTTTTTGAATGGGCTAAATGAGAATATTTAAGTAGCACTTCACGTATCTAATTATAAAGGAAAATCAAACTAAAATCTTTTTAGAACGGATTAAAGTTAGACAACTATTTTTATGGAACTATGAGGTTAACTAAGGTTGTAAAGAGACATGGTTCTAGAAGTAGAACAATGAGCCAACTATCTTTTTTTCAAAATTCAGCGATTATTTAAGGTTATAATTAGACAGTCCTAGAAATAGGACAAAAGGTGGAACCAGCAATAATACATTTTCTTTAATATAAAGTACTACTTTATAGAATACTGAGATTTACCTATATCTAGTAAAAGCACAATGTTATACTTACTGGCTATTATGAAGACGTGATCTTTTGAGTGCATCATCATCGACACGGCGCACCGGTGTCTTCTTGCTGGAAACATTTCCACTCACAGATCTTTGTCTGGCGCGTCCAAGTTGCGAAGAAGCAAAGTTGCTGTTGCTTTCCACAGAATAAGAACGGAGTTGTTTCAATGGCGGACCAGGTCCACAAGAAGCCCGCTCAACAGGCTTAAGGGAGGAACTGAAAATGGATAATGAAAATGATTATTATCATTTTATTTAAATTCAAATTTCCAAAATGTAATTAATGTATTCAAGATTCCATAGTTTAGAATATTTAATAAGTAGTATTTCATTTATTCATAATGTAGCACAAGCAAACTTTAAAAAATTATTTTGACAAATTATATGCTGTAGATTCAAAAACTCCATTAATATGATTGTAACTTTTTAAGCTGACCTCTATGATCAAGCAGCAAATTAGTAAAAAACAATTGCACCAATGCATAATCTGTTTATAAGTTGACCACCTGCTTAAGTAGATTACCAAATCGGTGCAAACCAAAATTAGCAACATCCCATTGTAACAAATTAGACATAAAAAACTTGTAATTTAACTTAAAATAAAGAATTAGATAAAAACTAATTATTTAATTTATCTTAGTAATTATCACAAATATTTTGTTTCATTAGGAATTCAAGCATACAAATAGAAAATAAAAAAAAAACGCACAAAATTATTCTTAACAATTTTTACAAGAAAGTAAATATCTTTTAAAAACTTACAAGAAATTGCGCATTTTTAGCTTCATGGGTTATAATTATTCGCAACAATCCAATTTTAGTGCAAGTAAATCTAGAATTAGATATACTATTGCTAAAGAAAGAATTAATTCGAGAAAGTTTAAATGAGGAAAGAACGGGTCCTGACGTCAAGTCGGCTAGAATTGTTACGTCACAGACATTTCCCTTAGAAACAACATGCTTAGGAGTATAATGATACTGCATTTTTCCTTTTCGATTTCAAAATAATCCTATTATCGTTTGCAATACTTTCATTTCAAGCAATAATAGTCGTTTTCTTACCATTTTGGAAAGATTAAACTAAATAAATTACTTTTTATGCAATACTAACCGCATGGGGCCATCAAAAATATTCAACGGATTTTGTTATTTTTGAATTGAAGACAAATTTTAATCAATGAATCATTCGGAAGTCGTTACAAAGCGACTTCCTAAGCTGCCTTTAAAAAACAGGATGTTCAATAAGCCGGATATAAATAAAATACTATTTCATTCATCAAATCAGATATTCTTTAAAGACCGGAGAAGACGAAGAACTAAACTACATTCCATTTTGTTATCAATATGTTAAAATTATTAGTTTATTAACTAACGAATTTAAATAAGCATTTAAAAACTATACAAAAAAAAATTTGTTTATAGGTGCAATTCGTCATGGAGACAAATGATAAATTAAGAGAGCATAATAAATTACGAACACAATTCACAGCAACCGCGATGGCAAAGTGGTTTTAGCAATGAGCTGTCATTTTGAAGTTCTAGATTTTGCCTTTAATTAATCTAGCATTAGATTGATATCTGGGCCAAGCTTGTCAGGAAAGTAAAGGTGGCCAAAGCGCAATTTTAACCACATTACTGCTACCAGGCCGTTTGTCACGAAATTGTGAAGACTTAACCTTCAAAACCTTTTCGGCCGACAACTGATTGTTGGCATTTCATAATCTTACATTTAATTAATAACATTAACAAAATTAAAGAAACTTTAATGCAAATAAATAAGATACATAAAAAAATGTACGTGTATTTTTTAAAAAAAATTTATAAGTGTTTATCCTTTTATAAAAAAAATAAAGAATAAAATCAAAACAATGACAAATATAGTTAACGAATATGATGAATTCGAAACAACTTAGGACTTGCTAGGAGAAAAAAGTTTAGTTTCAATTTTCCAAATATATGTTCTTGTAACCAACAATACGATGAGTATGTATTATTTTATAACTAAGACTAATCTAATCTGACTAGTAGTATCTTACAGTATTCACGTGATATCTTATAAATTAATACATTTGTTTGTATGCAAAAATCATGAATCAGTGCTTTATTATCTTCTATTGATCGCAAAGGTCATAGATACTTGACTACATTAAATTACTTGTAAAACTGAAAAAAATATGCCAAATAAATGAAAATAAATACAAAAAAAAAACTATTTTTATTCCAGTGGAGGAAAAAAATTACGCAACAAATTACACAAGTGGAAGTTAACGCCAGTGATAAACTTAAGATACGCCAATAAAAAAAAAATGACCGCATCCTAAAAAACAATGCCTTTTTCAACGGGGTTACAAAAAATAATGCCCAGCGTTACAAAAACCATCATTTTACAAATTATGATCAGCCATGGTTGGAAAGTAATAAATAATAAAAACTGACCTCAGAGATGGTATTAACTGAACCAGAACGCCGACGCAAATCATAAAGAAATATACGATCGCCAAAGCTCGTTAGATAAAACAAAACAGCAGCTAGACAAGCAGAGGTACAATAGAGAAAGTTAGCCAGGCATGAAAAGTACTGGAAATTCCTTTATTAGCAAAGGGATTTTCACCTAACATGTTGATGATTCTCTGAAGGAATTTCATTCAGGCGACTCCCCCTGAATAGTTATAAGGATAATTATATTTCTACATGGAAAAGATCCGGTAGAAAATTAGATTTAAGTTTACACAAATCTCAGTTTTCATCAGTTTTTAAAGGGGAACAGGTTTCTAGACAAAATACACGAGAACACGCGTTATTTGTATTGTTTTGATAATGCTGGTGTTGAAGTAATAAGTTTCATTTATTAGCACTCTAGTCTCAACATTGATAGTTAAGAGTAATTGATGTGCTGAGATAGCGAAATATTGCTGCATTTAAATTATTTTACAAAATCATCTTTCGATAGAGACATAATAATTAAAATAAAACAAATTCCATCTTTAAGAATGGGCAAACGGTTTAAGTATTTAAATCTAACTTATTCAATAATTATAAAGCATATTTTTAACTAAAAAATTATTAAATCAGAACCAATTCTACGATGTAAAAATTAATGACTATCTTATTCAATATTTACTTTTGTATCTAAAGATGAGTTAAATTAGTCATAGATGATAATTGGAAAGATATAACTTAGAGTATGCATGTGACTAATTTTTAGATTTAAAAGTAAATAGATTTCGAAGAATGGTACTCTTCAAATATTGTGTAGGCAGCCAAACGGGAGGGGGTTATAATTTTCTGATTTTGTAAGAAGGGGAAGGAGAGGTATAATAAATACTTATACGTAAGACTTTAAAATCCATTAGTTATTCAAATTTTCTTAAAATGAGAAGAAAAAAAATAAAATTTGAATAGAAAGATTGGGAATAAAACTTAAAAATCAGGGAAAGCTCTTTGAAAAGAGTTACAGACGTCAAGAGTTATTACCACAGAAGGAAAACGCCAAAATAAATCTAAAGAATATTTTACACAAAATTTTGCAATATGAATTAAAACGCAGATTCTATTTTATGCAAACATATATTCTATTTGAATTTAATGAAAGAAGAAGAAAAAAAAAAGTCTAGAAATACATAAATCACCAAAGAATTCCAGAAATTTTAACACAGCTACAGTCTTAGTATAAACACGCAAAACAATTGAAAATAAAATTCCAAAACAATTTAAAGGAAACATCTATATCTTCCTTATTTTACATAAATGCCCCAAAATTTAAACTTCTGTCAGCTAAATAATAGTAGAGATATACGTTAATGGCCTGACACAAGGTAAAAAATTTAAAAGGATTGCAAGCAATTATTTATAATGACAAAGAAGCATTACTTAAATATTATCCTTTTCGCAATATCATGAACATTATTTAGTTGAAAAAAAAATCCCAACAATAACTTAAAATAATACATTCTTTTGAAGTTGCAAAAGTAGGTGTTCAAAACCCATCCATAAGGAACAAGAAAAGCGGGAAGTTATGGAAAAAGTGCGTCACTAGCCGTTGGCCATCTTTAATGAGTCCAAAGAAGTTGTATAATAATGCGGCACATCGAATGACAAAGAAGGCCTAAAGCGTGAAAATGGCATTTTTACTTTCTTTTCAAATCCGCCTCATTGTGTTGCCCACAGATGAACTTTAAAAGAAATTGTGGGAGGGATTCGTTAGCTTAAGGAATGGGAGAAAGAAAAATAATATATATATATAGATGAGAAAAAGATTTTCAGGGTTTTTGCCGTACAAATAGAGAGGATAAACTATTATGATGAAAATCATTTTAATGTTTTTCTTACAAAAAATTTCCTCTTAAATAAATCTAACCTTTTACCCGGATTCCCTAACCCTATTTTTGTTAAATGCGAATTTTATTGCCGTTAAAAGGATCTAGTATTTTCTAAAATCGGACAAAGCATCTATCAAAAAAAAGACTCAAGCGCTCGCAGTCTGTTATTAAATCTTGATGAAACGTTTATAGTCAAAACCCATAAGCATTTCATTTCAGAAGGTAGTACTCTCTTATAGATTTCTTATCGGAAAGATAAACACATCGTAAAAGCCTGAAATTCACCATACGTTCCATATGGTTATAATTACATAGGACGTATAGATAGATGACCCTGAACAGAATATAACAATGATAAGATAGTTTCATTCGAAATCTAATAGCAAAGATCTTTACACTCTAACTAAAGGTATATTACGTTGAAATTCAAAGCAATTTGTAAATAAAACACATAATCAAAACTGGCTCAGAATTAAGAAACGATTGAAATAAATCATATATAATTAATTACAAAAGCAAAATTAGTTATTGTATGTTGAAATCGAACAAAATCAAGCAAAACGAATTGGAAAATATAGAATTGTACCATAATCTGACAATTTGTACCATAATTAATCATAATTTTCGTGACATTATATATATTCAATGGCCCTTTATCTATCTAGTCATTATCTATTATAACAATAAAATATATTTGGATTTAGAATATGATTATTTAAATGCTGATATCACGATTACTGGAAAATTAATAGCTAACCAATTTTTTAAACGAAAACTTTTTAGAAAAATTTATGTAATTTTCACGTACTGCTTGCTGTATCATTAAAATAATTTTATTTATAGAAAACAAATACTTAATCGAGAAGTGTTGCTAACAAAATATAGATATTTAAATTCT